AAAACAACAAATCGACTACTGATTTCATTGATTGGGATGTATCAGCTAATTTTCAGGCATTTCCAATAGTACAACAGGCTCTTTTCTATGAGGAACCGATGGGACGGCATGCTTTCGGTAGCAACGTCCGCGATGCTGCTTGTTATGTATTATGGGCGTTTGCCCGCGCGTACGAGCCCGACGAGCTGAAGACTTTCATAGATTCCGTTGCCACGAGTTTGGTGAGGAATTCTTTGCGCGTCGTCATGAATTTCATTGTTTTTTCAAAGTGAATGAATCAGACGCTAGTTTTATAGATGTGTGTTGCATTATTCGATCGCGAAGTGAATCTGCGTAGAGCTGCGTCGGCAGCATTTCAAGAAAATGTGGGTCGTCAAGCAAACTTTCCTGATGGAATCGCATTACTGACTACAGGTAGGCTTTCATTGAATTATCAAACTTCACTTTGCCTTCCTCTTGATCTCATTTTGGAACGGTTTCAGTGGATTACTTCACCGTGGGCAATCGTTGGCGTTGTTATACAAAAGCATGCTTAGAAGTTGTTCGTTTTCCAAAGTACGCTGATGCCATAATCGATCACTTAGTGGAGAGCAAGGTACTCGCTTGGCTTTGTAAAATACTCTTGGCATCATTCTGACGGTGTCTTAGGTGATTCACTGGGACGAAACAGTTCGCGAACAAGCGGCAATAGCTCTTGGCCTTCTTGCTCCTCTTCACTCTGATTACGTGTCGCATAAACTTGGCATTCTTCTGGATGGCTGCAGCTCGTCAAATCCTGTAAGCCTAATATTTTGATGTTCAAATATAGTGCTCATGATTTACCTCAATGGAAGAACACTTTTAGATTCACCGTCATGGATATCTCCTAGCTCTTTCTCATTGTATTCAAGGCCTTCTTTCAGCTGGGTTTTCATGCAGCAAAGAAGTGAGAAATTCTTCATTGTTCTGTAGTAACTCGGTTCGATCCAGTGCTGTTTAGGTCCTATCGCCTGCCATTGAATTGCCGTGGAAGCTCCGAGCAGAGAGTGAGAAGCTAAAAATATCTGGGGGAGAGTTGACTCGTCTCGCCCTGGCAACGTACATACGCTGCTTATCCTCAGTGCCAATAGCTTTGGATCCTGAAACAGTAGGTTTTGAAGTTCTAGAGGACAAGCGAAGGCTTTTCGTTGGACACTCACGAAAAATCTAATCTAGATCGAGAAATGGCAAGACCGTTTGTTGATGTTCGCATGTGATGACACGGCTGCAGTCAGATCTGCGGCCGCCGCTGCGGCCTCAGCGTTCTTTCCAGCGTATTTTTCTGAACGCCTTTTCTATGAGCATTGATGCGAAAATTGAAAGTATCCCCACAAAGGTTTGTAGAGTTTGCTGTTGGTCTTGATTTTATTGGCATCTTACAAACCCTTCTGTTCAGATTTTGACAGCCAAAAAAGAAAACGAGCGTATTGGTTTGGGCTTGGTAGTGGCTTTCCTCCCTCGACGTTTCATCAGCTCGCTGTTGGTTGACGCCATTTGCACCGTAATTGTAAAGTAGGTTTATATCTCGTAATTTTGTTTTTTTAATATCAAAGCCGTCTTTATTTTTCGACGTCTTTCTTTTTGCCTTCTAATGAACTTACTTAACTGCCATGAATTTCTTAGTCTTGTCATGCAAGATTGTTGCTGATTAGTTTTTTGTTAACTGCTGTTTTTGGCCACAGTTCACCTTGTTAACAAGAATGCTGGGTTGTGAGCAAAATTTTCATCCCAGACGGGACTGGAACCCGCACATTTTGCTTACCTTTTGCTTTGTGAGACATAATAATCAGTAATAACAAGGAATGTTCACAGAAAGAAAGCGCAACTGTTACCAGAAGAGTGAGAAGAATGCGTTGTTGAAAGCTTCAAACCATAAAGTTTCTCGTATATTTGCTTTGGTACGAGTACATTTTTGTTTTTAGACGAAACAGCCTCGACGCCAAGTGGGCTCTCGCCCGACGTAGTGCCGTCGATGCTCTTGGAGAGATATTTGCAAGCCGACCCTGTGCTGAGTGGATTTCTCCCGTTTTCAATGCCTTATTTTGCGCGGTTGAGGATTACACCACTGACTGTCATGGAGACATTGGACGTTTCGTAAGTAGTTGCTCCTACGAATATGTATTAATGTTATCCTAGACCGTGGTCATATCGCGACTGAGTGAATGCGGTCGTAAGATTGCACGACAGATTCGTTCTTATTCCGCAATCGAACTTTAGGGCTCCAAAAAGAAGACCGCAGCTTAATTGTAAATTTACGGCCATATCTAGCTTTTGCATATATCATATTGACTATGATGGACAGAATGTTATGGTACTTTCTTACTTCAGGTTCGAATGTCAGCGATGTGCGTGATGACGAAAGTGTTGTGCCTTCCCGGGCTTGAGGATGCAGTGATACAACAGTATGCTCAGCGAGTGGTGCAGCATATGGTTCAGCAAAGTGTAGGCAAAATTGGACGAATACGAGAGGTATTCAAAATAGCCGTCTTCTAATTCCTATGGTGAAGTGGAGCTTCAGTCATTTCGAACACGTTCAGACCGCTTGTAAGTGTATAAAAACATTGCTGTACTCAAAGATCACTCGGCAGCATATATCACACGCTGATGAGCTTTCAGCAATTTATCGTGACGAACAGGATTTCATCCAGGTTTGTCAAACAATTAATACTTCACAGTGATATTAAGGAGTTAACGATTTTCTTGGCTTAGGATTCCGTTTTTCTATCCATAACGCCTCTGTTGTTGTGTGAAGAATACTATACTGACCTCATTTGCGGTCTTGTGATATCTGCAGGTTCGTTTCCTCTCAATATATTTAGTCAGGTTTAATTTTTAAATCCCAGGAGGTATAAGTAGTTTAATCTTTACATTTTAGGAGGTGTAAGTGAAGGTACAACGATGCGAGCTTCCCAAGCATTAATGGAGTATCAACTCTCTACATCGAAGAACCTCAAGGTAAATATGACTTTTCCAGGGACTTGTAGCATTTATTTACTTTCGTAATTTAAATGTTTGGGCGGAAGTGGTGTAGTGGCAAGTGGCGCGCTTACCACGCGAGCGGTCCGGGATCAAATCCTGGGTCGTGAGTCGCCCGGGCCAACCAAGCCTTCCATCCCTCCGGGGTCGGTTAATTGGTACTTGTCTGGGAGGATAAAACACTGACTTGTACATCGGCTGGCCCCCGCAAGTCATTGTATAGGCCACATCGCATTCAAACGCCACTACGAATGTACAAATGGAAGTAGAATGCGTGCCGCATCCCAAAAAGGGATTGATCAACGGCAAATGCTTTATCCTTTTTATCCTTTATTTTTAGTGTTCATATGGGGAAAAATCGAGTGGATCCTCTGAAATTTTCTACCGGGAACTTCCAGCTTGTTTGGTTCATAAAAATGAGTTCTAAGCTTAAATTGTTAGGCATTCCAGGCTTGGTGATTCTTACTAGTTTCCATCATTCCCCACACACACCGCACAACACACACCAGGACGCTCGAGGATTCCCCGCCCTTTTGTACGTTCCAACAGACAAGTCAGTGAATACTGTCACTGTCAAAAGTCACGCACCGAAACAGCGTGGCATGTCCATAACTGTGGTTGGTATCTGTGAAACATCAAAAGGGTTCATGCAGCTGTCGAACCCAGTGCCATAAGCAACTGCAGTACTCAACGCAGCTCAAATTTTCCACTTCACTCCCATTTTGTGTATGGATGACGGTACCACAGCACTTGTTTCTGTACAAATCTCTGAGATAAATTAACCCTAATGAGCCAATCCTATACTCCGAGCAACTGAAATTGTACCGCATTGGTCAATACCTGCTGCAACTACGAATAATTTTTTCACGATGTTCCCTCTACCCTGAACACAGATCAGTCTGTATTCGAAGGCTACTAATAAAGTGGAGAGGTCTTCAAAAAAACAGTTGTCGATGTGAAGTATTGATCCTTACAATTTATGAATAAAAGTATGAATGGAATACCAAAGAAACGATTGGATGTAATCCTCGCCCTTAGACCACGGGGGGGGGGGGGGGGGGGCGGGGGGGGGGGTATTCGCCATTGGTTTTACTATTGCCATGCGGGAACATTTTTGCTGTCGTATCATTTAAAAACGGCTCTCAAAGGCTTAAGCTAATTGATCAAGCGATTGTTAATGCTGTGAAATCTGAAATGACTGGGGATTATTTGAAAACATATACTGAGTAGACGTGTATTTTTGTGATTTATCGAAGGTGCACATCTCCATGATTCATTTTTCTGATTTCATTTCATCTTTTATTCATTTCATTCCGTCCGTAATAACTTCGTATAGCGATCGAGACATTTTTTGCAGAATCTCGTAATCAAATAGTAGTGATACGACGTTGAGATGAGTCGTTGTATGATTTCTGCGGTTGTAATATGCTTCTAACTTGTTTTAGGTCTAACGAAGCTGCTAGAACAGTGAAAGCCCACCAATATTATATCAAAATAGTCCTCATAAACAAAAAAAAATTGCTGAAGTGAAAACATCCGAGGATAAGGCTCAATTAAATCTATTTCATTTCAGTTGATGGAGCGCTTTCTTGAAGCAGTGGCTATTGTTTTGACGTAGCCGAAAGGGTGCCCTCCAAAAAATTCCGTGTTGTGGAGACAATTGTCTTGGCGTCGACAGTGTGCTGCGTCTACTGCCACAAATTCTGTCACGTCTACATGTTCCTCGAGCAATGTCCTGATTCTTCGCAAGCTCTCTCACGTCTCCTGGTGCACTTAACAAAGGTGAGTGTTAGAAATAAGTCAGTATGAAGTTGTTTTTGTTTGTTAACTGCTGTTTTTGGCCGCAGTTCGCCTTGCGAATGTTTCACAAGAATGCTGGGTTGTGAACAAAACTTTCGCCCCAGGCGGGACTAGAACCCGCACCTCTCGCTTTCCGGGCAAGTGCGCTACCAGTTACGCTACCGGGGCACCATTTCATCCCAACTCAGCTTCTCCTTTTGTCCCGCCGTGCTTTTGGGGCGAAAGTTTTGTTCACAACCCAGCATACTTGTGAATCAGTATAAAGTGTATACCGACTATCTTTTTTGAAGATTGTGAATTCTCGCACGGCATCTCCTTCACGAATAAAATGCGCACTGAACTCACTATGTTCATTACTTGGCTGCAATCGTGACAGCCTCACTTGGCGTACAGCAATGCAGCTGGTAAGTAAGATTAAATCTGCTCACTTATGTTTGCTTCTCCATTCTTCGTCGGAAGTTGAGTGCAAGGTTGGTTTAAAATTCAACGAAGTCTAGTTTTTTTTTCTACAGGTTGTGCGATCTCTGTCGAGCCCATTGCCTGTCGTCAGACGTGCGGCTGCGGAAGGACTTTATGAGAATGTGTGTCTCACTGAAGTCGATGATCAGGTCAATATATAACAGTTCAACATTACAAAAGTCAAATATTGGGTTTCTTGTACCATAGAAATGCGGTGAGCAACAAAAAACAGCGACTACTTCTACGGCCTGTTTACACTTTTTGAAGCAGAATGAAGTAGTGCTCACTATTTTGTCCTCCTTCCACTAGTTAGATTTTAATTTGATCTTTCATTCGACTCTTTGCAGTGGTGCATTCCAATTTGGTGAGTGGTGCCGGGTGTGGTTCACTAGGACAGAAAGCAACATTTTCGCGCTAAAATGTCGCTCTCTGTCGTAGTGAACCGGAAACGTCGAAAATCGTTACTTCGGGTCCGCTGATAACCAGCTATGGACCAGAGGTTTGCAGCGAAAAAGGTTTCGCGCTGCGAATCGCGAAAAAGTCGCTTTCTGTCCTAGTTAACCACACCCAGTGGTGCCAGCCCGCTGGTTGGCTGAAGTCACTAGAAAAATAGCGCGCTGAAGCTTAGCTTGCTCCAATTACTAAACTATAGTGCATACGCGTGACCATTGCCACTCTGTTCATCTCGAGTGGACAGGGAGGGTCAACGTCATCAGTTGGCTCTACTATCAGGATGGTGCATTGATGCATTGATATTCAATTTAGGTACTTCTACTGCTGTCGGAAACAGTATGGCAGGACACCTCCCCCACTGCAATGATTTCAATACATGATGCCGCTCATACCGTAGAACGAATTCTATTGATGGAAGCAGAATCTTCGAAAGCAATGCTATCTTGATGTTGTCTTGATGCCCTTTGTTTTACGATTGTTGATTGTTCATTAAGTTAATAATCATTTTTATCATAATAATTAATTTTTTATTGAGATTTATTTTGTTTTTCCTGTTCTTTACCGTTTTTCTACTTGATATAAGTCGATCTCTTTGTTTCCGTTGATTTTGCAAAAGTTGATACGGGTTTTTCATCGTTTGTGGCCCATCGAAAATAAATATTTTAAAGTAGGTGTTCCTATAGTTATTAGCTGTGCGTGGTTATAAGCCTTTAATATCGGAAGAGCTGCACGGTCGTTCCCATGAAGTAATGTACGGTGTTAAGTGAAATGGCGGATGATAAGGAGTTGAATTCGTTGCTAACGGTGCTCAACAGTGTCATTTTGACCAGAGCGACGAAGGGAGGTGCAAAAATTGTCGACATTAAAAAGGATTATAAGTAGGTCAACCAGATCATTCTGATGCCGTCGGGTAGTTTTCCATCAATATAAAACGATTATTATTAAGAGAATTGTGTGGAAATGAAATTGACACGCGCAGGTTTGGTTTCGATAGGTTGGAGACGCTGCTCTATTCATTTGGCAACAAGTTCCGCTGTCAGGTACGACATTCGGAACGGAGGTGATGACGGCTCCTGATGTATTTAGTGTTTCTTTAAGGGAGACAGATGGTTTGGAGAGACGACGAAAGCTGCTGAAAGCATTGTGCAGTCAATGGCAACGGAAAAACCTAAGAAAGGGAGTACGTGGTCTTCTCTGTGTTTGAAGAAACAGCTTATATAATTCAAGACTTATTTTACCTTATAGAAGTGTCCCGTAGACCAACATTCGACCGCGGTCCGCGTGGTGGATTTCGCTCTTCATTCAATCGATCGTTTGTTTTATTCTACTTATTTCTTTTTACATGATTTTAAATCCTTTACTTTAACCCTGGAACTAGAAGCGAGTGAGCGGCAAAAGGCACTATCAGGGTCGGGGCCTTCTTTGCAGGTCGGTTTTCAGTCTGAGTGTGGAGTAGATAGGTATCGATCGCGTGATTGGTACGCATCTACTCCATACTCGAATTGTAACGTATAGCCCTACACTTACCACCGTTATGGGTTGTGCAATCAGATTCCGTTCGTATCGGTTTTCATTAGTCCGGTCTCAGTAATGACAGTTGGTCTTTCTACAACTCTTTGGGATAAGAACTTCTTTAGAGTCTTCAAAAATCTGGTTTGTGTACGAATTATAACGATAATTGAATGCACAGTGAACTTCGAATCGACTGGCGGGGGTAGTGATGTCCAAGGCAGTAATTTGTCGTGCCAGCCGGTTGTAACTGCTATGATCGGTGAATCGCGCTGTGCTCCTCGCGTGTGGTGCCTTTGGCATGCTACAAAACTGGTACCTACTGCGAGTTAATCCATTTGCAAATAGAATGCAAATTTATTGGAACATGAAGAAAGCGGTGAAGAAAAGGAGCAGTTATAAAAAATGAATAATAAACAAGCATAAACGGTTTCCTCAGGCATCATTTTCAAATTCTCTTCAGCATTTTCCTTGGATGGGAATCGCAAATTGTTATAGCTGCGACCGCACCATTCAAGTCTGATTCTAACTGACAGAACAGGAGAGCATTGGAACTTGGGTAACTTGAGCGCATGATTCGTCCTTCGCACCACGTCAGCGACAAGTGGGACTCTTAGTGGGACAGCTTCCATCCAATTTCGTTGCTCAGCAAACCCGGTTTTTTCCAAGCGTCATATTCTGACTCATGAAATTGATGATGTGAAAGTGCCACCTAATAAGCGTTCTGGTTTCTCAAATTTCACTCTTTAGAAACTTCGGCCCACCTCGCGGCTTCTCGTTACCTCATCACAATAATCAACCTGCAAGGCCATTGAGCACCAGAAATGATGCGCAACTTCATCACAGGTACAACTGTTTCCTTTATGCTGTGATACACGCTTAAAGGAATCTTGCGCGGAAAAATCATGATTCTATTTCAGCCATAAATCACTGGCTTGAGACTCATTATCCACGATAATAGTGAAAAGAACTGAAGTATTGCTTTCGTTTTGATTAGAAATTCGAAAACTCGAAAAGGCTGCTACGCGTTCGAATTGCCCACGGACGTCTTTCACGAATGCTGGCGACGGGGATGCTCAAACTTGGTTCTTGGAGTGCATTCACTAGAAGCTCTTTCTGGCTTCTGCTTCGTTGCATTCACATCTTACACTTCTACTCCATCCTATTCCATCGATCGATTTGTCTCCACTCTCCGAAATCGCGCGCTTTAACCCGATTCTCTCATTGCGTCGCCTGGTACGTAGCCGGCCAAACGCCGTCTTCTTTCCATGCCTCGCCTGGCTCTGCCTCCTGGTCCTTCGATGGTCCATAACGTGTAGTTTTGTACGTTTGTTTCTCTTCAGAAACCGAATCTTCATGCGTGAAACTTTGTGTGCTATTTCCAGTGATCACAAACTGACATATTCATGTTAGGAAAGAGTGCAAGAATTTTCCGCGCAAGATTCCTTTAAGATATTTGTAGTCGTTCTGCAGAATCCTTTACGTAGATTTAGCGCCTCCGATAGCGGCCTTCCTCGTTTTGGTAATACCCAACAAAGCCGTAAGTTTAGCAACGATGAACGTCCAACGTCTTCGAAAATGGGCGGTGGTGGCAGCAGCACGCAGGTTCCTTCTCGTTTCGGATTTGGGTAAGTTTGTTAATTCGAAGAAATTTTTGGAACATTGAAATTCTTTTATCTTTTTCTAGGGAGGAGGGAGGAATAGATGGATAAACTCCAATTTGGGAGCCTCCTTCCTGACGCAATTTAGTTTTATTTCTATCATTTTCTAGTTTTTTTTTTTCCAAGCATTACAATTCTTTTGTAGTACCACCAACTGCTTCTAACTGTGCTGCCTTCTTTTTGCGTGGGGGCATTAATCAAACCAACTAATGATCGGCGCGGCGCGTGGCCTTATTGAGACGAACGTGTGCTTGGAATAGCCAAAGCTATGTGCGAAGATATTATCAGTAGATAATCCGGAATGTCTTCACTTTCTAGAGTTCTTTGTTTAGAAATACGTCCTACAATATTCCTAGTGAAACCGCGTCTCTCAGAAGTTCGAGTTCATCGTCAACGGATGAAAATAAATCGCGAGGTGAGTAGCTTTTTATTTCTTGGTTTGGATCTTATTTGATCCTAAGGGCGGAAGTGGTGTAGTGGCAAGTGGCACGCTTACCACGCGAGCGGTCCGGGGATCAAATCCTGGGTCGTGAGTCGCCCGGGCCAACCAAGCCTTCCATCCCTCCGGGGTCGGTTAATTGGTACCAGACTTGTCTGGGAGGATAAAAACACTGACTTGTACATCGGCTGGCCCCCGCAAGTCATTGTATAGGCCACATCGCATTCAAACGCCACTACGAATGTACAAATGGAAGTAGAATGCGTGCCGCATCCCAAAAAGGGATTGATCAACGGCAAATGCTTTATCCTTTATCCTTTATTTGATCCTAAGGCTAGAAAGCATTATAGAAGTACAATACCATAAGCCGACACATAATGGTCACTGGTCGATGTCCATCGGCAATGTTATCCAATCAAGAATTTATGAGGAGCTCAGTATCACTGCTTTGGGTACAGCGTTATTTTCCCAGATAGCAATATTTGTTTGAAATTGTCGCAGTTGAAATTACTGATTGGAAAGTAGAATCTGAGGGGACCATTTACATCATAGGATGCGCCACGCATTCTAGTTCTATTCAGAACCAATGTGACCTTGTATTGGAGGAGGTGTGAGAGGACAGAATCGCTGACAAATTATCGACTCCCGAGGAATAGAAGGTCTTGTTGGCGAGGGCAATATTCTTGGACCGTGTTCGTAGTGGACGACCAATGTGTTACACCGCGGACTATCCAACTCAACGGACCCGTATAAAAGGATAAAGGATAAAGCATTTGCCGTTGATCAATCCCTTTTTGGGATGCGGCACGCATTCTACTTCCATTTGTACATTCGTAGTGGCATTTGAATGCGATGTGGCCTATACAATGACTTGCGGGGGCCAGCCGATGTACAAGTCAGTGTTTTTTATCCTCCCAGACAAGTCTGGTACCAATTAACCGACCCCGGAGGGATGGAAGGCTTGGTTGGCCCGGGCGACTCACGACCCAGGATTTGATCTAATCCCCGGACCGCTCGCGTGGTGACCGCGTCACTTGTCACTACACCACTTCCGCCCGTACGGACCCCTATATCTCCATCAATCACTGCAAGTCTAAAAACATGAAAGATGCATGGAATAGGTTTCAAATGTTGGCAATGAGCTTAAGAACTATAAGAGAACCGGTGATTTTTTTTTGTGTTGCTATAGTGACAACCCCACATTCCAATTTGGTGGCATAGCGATGCAGTAAATAAAAGTGTGAATGCCAGCTCGACTGAAAAATGGCAACAATAAGCAGCAAACTCGCCATGAAGCCTTAAAATAATGTTTCGCCGCCTCTCCTCTTGAAATAATGGGGAAGTATCTGACGATGTTTATCTGGACGCCTTGATTGCTCCACGGCTGCACGTGACCGAGCGTATTTGAATTAGTCGCTATGCCTTTTGCGTATCGTAGGATTTGCGCGCGATTGCTCGTCCATTAGTCCACCTTAGCCGTCATTACCCACTTTGTAAGAACCTAGCGCCATAGTCGCGCACATTGAAGCCGCGAATACGGCAAAACTGTAATCCTCGTGGATTACTCTGTCACAGGGCTTCAGAGACGTAGTTCCTCATTGATTCACGAAGACTCACTGCGGTGATGTCTGTTGCTTTGAGAATGCTACAGGACTCGTTGTTAGCTCAAATCGCTTTGAAAATGTTGTACTAGTGCATCGACAATATTTTTTTTTGCTTCCCGTTCCCCCTTTTGTGTGTTAGCACAGACTGGATTTCAAAATCTATCGAAGCATTGTTGTGTTGCTGTCTACAGGATAGTTCGGCACTTATGAGATGGCGTGAAAGAGAATGTGGTTGTCAAGTGCTTCCGAAAGCGTTTAGGTTTGGATTCAATGCATTATACTCTGCTTTTGGAGAGAGGGCAAGGATGTGCGCACTCTGGCTGGAAGCTGATACCATGTACGTAAGACAATGGCGCACAGAAAAATCACAAGTAGAAATGGAGCGTTTGCACATAGCTCATAATTCCTGGGGTCCGGATGACCGTTGTTTTGTTTTAAAGACTGGTTTCGCCAGTTGCGAAAAGTGTTGGCGCGAGAAACAGTGAACGTAGCGTAGACGTGTGTGTCGAGAACTGTTCTGACTTTCTGCAGTTATTAAAGCTGGTCGAGCCTCAAGGATAGAACCATTTGTGTAAGGGCACTAACTATTGCTGATGACAGACTGTATCGTCCACACACCTCAACCTCCGAGAATTCCCGAGTTTTTGATTTGGCTCACAATTCAGTTCAGTGGACGGAAATATAAAATATGCTTTAGCAGAAGTTGGGGTGTGGGGGGTACCTGACAATTGTGTAAGCCCTGTTTCATGTCCGAAGGGCCTTTCAGTGCGTAGTCTAGGCTTATGAAGCGTAACTATGCATCTAAGTCCTGCCAGATGATTGCGTTACAAACGTTCACACGCCCACGGTGGACCGCGCTGCTGATGGGCTACTCACCAATACGTTAGGCCCCATGATATAAAAATATCTTGTGATTTTAATTCATACCTTAGAACTGCACTCACCTTCGCTTTTCATTCCCATTAGCCTATAAGTGCGCCTCTGGTCTATATAAATGGGTGGCCAAAAAAAGACACCTTTCCATGACACACATCATCAACTTTCCACGCACAGCGTGTCTGTTGAAGGACCTGTTTACGCAAAAATATATTCTAGATTACTCCATAAGTAGAGCAGCCGTCTTCCACTGCCCTCACCGTCCTTCAAATAGGACGTCATCTTCCATCACCGTTGAGCTCAGGAAGGCCACCGTAATCGCTCTAGCTCGGAGCTCCACACGAACGTTTTTTCGAAGGTTTACATCGACTCACAACATCCACTCATCCACAACCACTGCGGCCCCAGTGTATTCCGCGGATGGGGGGGAGGAGGGAAAAGGGAGATGAAACCTACCAGGATTTTTCGCAATATGTGCGACATGCTTCTGGCATTGTAACAGTTCTCTCGTCAGACACGCTCTATCTCTACACAGCTCTCCTTTTCAGCATGGATGGTTGGTTGGGTTTCTTGGGGGGGGCGGTGTTTTTGTTTGGGGGTGCTGTTGCGGGTTGGGGGTTTTTTTGTGCTTTGCCGCTACATTCAAGCCTACTGAATTGGAAACTGTCGGGCAGGTTCAGGCAACTCGTCCAACACGCGACTTTCCCATCGCTAAGCGGCAGAGGGGAGTCCCTGTCTAAGACCCTGTTCGACGTTTTTTTAAACTTTTCTTTTCATTATGGGTCAATTTTTCACCCACAACCAATATTACGAGGTTTTTGCCCGGCTTCGTTCTTGGATTGTTGCTTTAAAGGAATCTTCCACGGAAAAAGCTCCGCCTCCATTACCACAGAAAAACGATACCTTAGGCCCCTAGCCTCATGAGCATAGCAAAAAGAACGGAACATAAGCGTTAGTTTCGATAATACTAATCCTACACACAAGACAAAATGATCACTCTTTCCGTGGAAGATTCCTTTAACTGACTGATTGCTTCCTAGGACAGTAGCTCTAAATGTGCAAGACCCCTTCCGACCAGCTTTCAGATAACGTCGTAAAGGTCCATGATCCGCCGAGGACCAGTTGAGCTCGAACCGTGCACAAGGTTCCCATGGCAAATTCTTGTGATGTCCTTGGTGCAGAAAGCTATTATAACGTTTATTGATAGATTGGGATGTGCTCTTAATATTAAGTTGGGAGCAGTCGGTTTGAGTTTAGCAAAGTGTGATTAATGCTGTCTGAATGTGAAGTGTCTCTTTTTTGGCCACCCCTGTAAACTGCTATCTGTTGTCTGCTTACAGTTCCTATTCTGAGAAACAGCTTCGGCACAGATTCGGTATCCTTGCGGAAATCTGGGTTCAAATCTTGGTAATTGGGTTTGGCGGTCTTATTGGTCTTCTGTTAAGTGTGGTATGACCGATAAGATCATCGATCGGCAGAAAATGTAACATTTTGTCGTTGTCTTGTCACTGCGACGCGGTCGCTCGTGTTCACCCATGTTCAAATCATGTTCGACACGGGGAGAATGTGTCAATAACTGCGCTTTTTCAAAACCCGTTTTTCATGGCTGGAATGTGTAGAACCTTCTATCGAAAGTCACTTCCCTCGCAGGATGTTGGCATACCTCGGTTCTTCGACCCATATTTCTACGTGGAACGATCCGACAGTGAGCTTCGAAGTTTCTTTCCCAATAGTTTATTCGCTTTTTTTCTTTGTATAGTTTCACTTTGGGGCGGAGTTTGTGAGCTGGGCGTGGTCTGTTGTGCGGAAACTTTCGGGTCGTCTGAAGGCCTCATTGTTCTTTTGTCGCCAATATAGGTTAACGAAAATTCGGGCGTTACAGTGGGTAGCTGGCTGCCTCTATTTTCTTCGGCCTGCGTTTTTTCACATACACACTGTAAACACCCAATTCTGTTGCATGTGCTCCCTTATCAAAATAGATATACAAATATGTGCATTTCGCACACATATTGACTCGTCCTTCCTCTCACCCTCGCCATGTTTCCCCCGGGCTCACGGACTATTATAAGTTCGCAATCATGCCATGACGATCTCTATAGAAGGGCGCAGGCAACACAAATGGCGCTGCTCCAAGCAACACCTCGAAGATCAGTTTTATGGGGTCACACCGACTAATAATGAAGTTGTGGACGCCAAATTGAATAAAAATGAAAAAGAAACAAAGAAAACCGT